AAAAAAAAAAAAAAAAAAAAAAAAAAGTGTACATCAGAGCATCAACCAGACTATCCTGCCCTTCAGTCAAGATGAATGTGAAAAGATCTATTAATTATGAAACAGTATAGAGCATTTAAAACCACTCAAACTGCCATAGCTTTGGATTTCTAACATTAATATTAGGTTACTATAGCAACATTTTAGTTAATGAGTTAGTCTCTTTGACACATTAACCAAGGTTGCATTGAACTTCCCGCACACTCAGGCGCACAGCTGTTTTTTTTTGTTTTTTTTAGAAGACTACATATTTGGTCATAGTTGATTACACTCAAAAAAATGTTTGTTCAGTAAACTTAAACGAAAACTTTTCCACGGAATTAGTAAATCAGTACAACAAGAATAAATCAATTTAAACAAATTGTTGAACAAACTTAATAAAATTAAGCTCCCGTGTCATCCATACTAACAATAGTGCATCCAATAAGCTAAAGAAAATTGAGTTTATTATTTTTTATTTTATTTTATTTTATTAGTTTTTGCTCTTTGAGTGAAGCAATAAACATCATGGCCGTCATGTAGCAGAAACTCTTCTAAATCTCCAATATTACTGAATATTAAACACTAACAATTAGGGCTGCAGCTAACGATTATTTTTATTGTCGACTAATCTATTGATTATTTTTTGATTATTCTATTTTCTGATCAGTTGATGAATTTGTTAGTAAACGATCAATAAATAATAACAGTAACTTCTGCTATTAATGTTTTAGCATTTTATTCAAACGCTTTCTCATAATACTTTACAAAAAATAAATAACAACAAAGAAAGAAAGAAAGAAAATAATAACAATAAAGAAAAATAAAAACAAGAAAAGAGAGAAAAAGAAAGAAATAATAATAATAATAAATAAAAAATAAAAATGAAAAAGAAATTAATAAATAAAAAAATATTAACAAGAGAGAAAAAGAAAAATAACAATAAATAATGAATAAAAAATAAATAAAGAAAGAAAAAGCAAGAAAGAAAGAGAAAAAGAATTACAGGGCAGTGATACAATACAATCAATAGAAATGCACATTATGGCTGCATTCACAGTTACGATTTGGGACTGACAGCAGTTGCTTACTGGTGAGAGAATTAAAATGTGTCATTTATTCAGCAGATTAAAACATCTGAAGACAGCTGAAGTCACAACCGCATTCAGGACACTAGAGCAACAGAATCAAAAATGGCGTCATAACACTGGGAAGTTTTAACACAGTTGACAGCCCGTTTTTAAATAAATGAGCCCAGTCGAGGCTTGTCCAATCCATCACACAGTTAAACAACTAACAATGACTTTACATGCTTTGTTAGCGAGTGCAGAGAGTGCGTTCGCCCCGGTGGATCTATGAACGCGAATCATTTCTCCTCTGTGGGTGAATTAAACCCGTCATGATTATATAGGCAACTCGATGTCCCGTGCTGTTCCGTTCATTCAGTGCAGCTTTGAATGCGGTTGTGAATCCTGACAATGTAAAGGCGTCAATTCGGCTATATATATATATTATATATGCGGTTCTGACGGTCGTATAATAACATAATAATAAAATGCTCTATGAACGCAACTATGAAGTGATGTTGCCATACTAGCCTTTACCTTCTGCTCTAGAGTCTTGTTTTGTGTTAAACATGGCAGAAAAACTGTCTTAAGTAGGGATTACTGCAGGCTGGTTGTGGCTAGAAGGGATACAGCTAAAACCGGAAGCTAACAATAAATGTAATTTTCTACCTGCAGGCTCACGCAATGGGCGTGGCTAAAGGTGCTACGCGTCGACGCATTCCATGCTAATCGACGCATTTTCATAATCAACCACGCCGATGAATCGTTGCAATCCTACTAACAATCTTTCTCTTTATTTAAAAAAACACAACCAATAACACTTATAAACTGACTCTCTTATTGCCATCCCATGCAAAGAATGCTGGGAACTACAGACCCACTGCACAGTTAGTTGTCACCAAAAATGATTCATGTAGTCCCAATATAACGAATATAAAACATGTTGCCACGACAGTGTATTGTTTGACAGAGGATGCATTATGAGTGAATGACTTACCAGGAGTAGTGCTGTTGACGGGTACGGCACTGCTGGCAGAGACGGGCGTAACACTGGGGGGTGGGAGCCCTGCTGCCATATCCAGTAGAGGCTGGATGATGTCACTCTTGAAGACACTGTTTTTCTGCCATAGATTTAGTACTCGGACAATCTTACTCTGCAACCCAACATTGAATGTAGAAAATAAGCAAATGGAAAAAAGTGTCTAGACAAGACCTTTACCATTTGATTACAGGGGCATGAGAAACAAACGCACCTTGTCATCGGCTGGGCAGCGGTAGAGGTTTTGAAACGTGGTAATGATGTTCTTACTAAAGCGTGGAGCGAAAACATCTTTCTCTTGCCCAAACTGGTGACGAGACTGCCGTACAATGGAGTCGATGACGTACAGACCGGGGACTTTGTATTCAGGCTTGCACTACACATACAAAAGAAAGAGAAGTAATGAATGATGAAAAAGTGTGTAGGTTCTGGGCTTCAAACCACCATATAATACAAGATTTTTTAAAGTAAACATGACAGCCAGTGATATTCCATGCATTAGAAATGACAACCATCAGTTTTGTATCATCACAGCAAGGCTAAACCACACTGAGCTCTGGGTTTGGTTGTGCAAAAGACATTTTCACATTAGGCATGTTTAAAATATCTCATTAAATAGCTACTAAAAGTCTTTGGTGGTCTTGGGCTGACAAATTAACTTTTTAATAAGATACTTTAATGGCTTCAATGTTACTAATTGACTTTATTCTACATAAAGCACTTCACATATGAAAATAAAAATACAGCTTGGAAACACTTGAGCTCTCTCTAGGCATTTTCCAAATATCTATTAAATAATTTTACATTTGCAAAATAATAACAACTGACCTTTTGAACGAATTTCTCAACACTTTGGACGACATGTTTGTAGAACTGAAAAAGATAAAAATATATTTTTTTAAAACTCAATCTTTAATATGAAGATTAAGAGGTACACATTAACAGCATGAACTGAAGATGAGCATTCACCTTCATCTGGGCACTGACCACATCAACTAAAAGAACCAGAGCTGGACATGATGTGACAAAGACCATTAAAATATATCAGTTTCAGTTTCTCAGTGACTTATGTCACATGTATTCAAAAGAAATGTCCACTGTTTACTTGATGTCCACAGGTTACTTGACTAACATAAGTGGACTCTTTTTTTTGTATACAGTATGCTTAAAGAAAAACACTTTCTTAAATGATTTGACCTCTTAAGCAATATTTGTACATCACTAGTTCTTTGGCATGATTATTTTTTAAAAGAATGCTCCATGCAGCCTCATAAATATGAGCTCAATAAAAAAAATGTAAATACAATGTGATGCATGCTATACAAAAGATGTTTTAGATGGATTTTAGCATAACAGGCCATTTCAAAATATTAAAGATATTTTTTTAAACATACAAGATCGCTGACATTCTGCATACATTTACAATATTTACAATATTACGAAGCCAAAAATGAATGCCCTTGGCCAAAAAGTTAATAAATAATAAATTTATTTAATAATCAACACTGAAATAAAAACTGAGTTGTACAAACGTTTAAATTACACATAACGTAATGTTTTTTTTTTCAGCTTTTTAATAACAGAACTGTTATTAAACCACTCAACTGGTTGATAAAATATAAACATTTAAACAGTGGCTGTAATAAAAACTTGTTTTACTAACAGATTAAAACATACATTAATGAAGACAATAGGTTAAGTAAAAATAAACTGTATATCTTCAGTTTCCCCTGCCATTATATTCCCCCTTTAATTTCGTTAATTTGTTATTTTATTAAATTCAATTTTCTATATAGCGCCAGATCACAACAGAAGTCATTTAAGGTTACTTTTCTATAGAACAGGTCTATACCTTGTTATTTTATTAAACAAACTAAATAGCCTTATGTTATTTATCTTATTTACATGAAGGCATGTTTCTGTCTCTACATGGCCGTGCGTTTACAATTCTCCTCTGCTCTCTGTACCGTGCATGGCGGAGTTCTGCCCTGATGCGCGCGCACACACACGCATACACACAGGTGGGCACACTCCCACCAGCAGACAGAGAGCGTGCGTCGGAAAATGTCACGTCAACCACCTGAAAAGCAGACAAAAATAGCTGCATTTTAAAGCTGCACACTTTGTGGATAACTGAGCTAAACATCGGAACATTTCTTTTTATGACAATGTACAGTTCAAATAATTGTTCAGTTGTTATATTGACTGCTGTCCCCCCCAAAGCTGTAAACCTAGGGAAAACACTGATCTTTGTGCATATATTTATCAGAACGCTCCTGTTTAGAGTAATTTTTTTTCTTGCTAGTAACTAACCAGTTTGAAAGTGTCCAAATAACCACATTAAAGAGTTTGCATTTTGCGAGCTTAGACTTTGTTGCATACTAAAAGTAACAAAGCTTATTGTGATTAGTAATAGACTGGAAAGATCTTGAGATTTAATCATCCATATTGGTATCGATTGAAAACAAAAATGTATATTGTTAATCCAGCACTAGAATCCACACAGCTAACATGTTCAACTTTTAGAAATTCACATGACTTCCCATTTTACACAAAGCATCCTTTATATGTCCTAACAGAACAGGCTTTGCTGAACAAGCACTATAGAATGTATGTGCATGTCAGACAGTGGAAGTGCATCACTAAAATTAAGCTCAATAATTCCGATTCAATATTTAAGGTTAAATGTAGGTTTAAATTTCAACATGATGCAGGATTAAGGACTACAGAAAAAGAAGATTTAGCATGCTTATTGTGTTGTGTTTCCTTGATTGTATACTGCATTTATGAATAAATTAAATCAACATTTTGCACTACACATATGAAACATTAAAACAGCTGATACATCTAAAATGATTTCAGCAATACCAGTCCACAATCCATTCTTCTTGTCATCTTGCATGCAAGCTTGTCTGTACAGTGACCAAAGATGCATACAGCCAAAAGCGCTGATAATAAGACTGCAGCTGTACAGTAAAACATAATGATGCCAACTATCAGATACTCTATGCATGCATGCCTGAGAAATTCATTCTGAAACTTGACTGATTCAAAGGACACCCACAAATATTGTTTCAGAGACTCTTTTTTGCCAATTAACGTTACACAAAGAAAATGAAGCACGAGATGGCGAGGTCAAGTTAAACTTAAGAGAAAAGAACTGAGCTTTAAAAAACAGTTTTTAGCATCTAATTATTATTACTTTTTAACAACAGCTTGTTTGTAAAGGAAGATACAACATTTGAACAAATGGGGTGGGCAATCTGACAATTTCATGACTGACCCTGAAGGCGATCACAATCTACTTTTCAAGCGAATCATAGAGATTGTGATCTTTCACGTCCTTTTAATGATGTTAAAACGACAGCAAACATGGAAGCAGTACTTGTCATGTCTAAGCTGACGATCTCTGGTAGCATCTAACAATCCTTTCAAAAATGTTTCATGCATTTGTGATGGACCACAATTATTCATTATCTTTTGCTGCAGGTTCTATCAAATATAACACCATGAAGCAAAAATGACCGTGGAGGTGAACACAGCAACTCCCATGATCCCATGCTCGGTTACTGTGTCATCTAGCTATGTCTTTGTTATTCAATTAGTGCTTTGTTATTCAATTGTTTCAATTAGTGCTGTCAAACGATTAATCGTGATTAATCGCATCCAAAATAAAAGTTTGTTTACATTATATATGTGCGTACTGTGTATATTTATTTTGTATATATAAATACACACACATACAGTATATATCTTGAAAATATTTACGTTAATACATTTATATATTCATATTCGTATATTTTATATTATATTTATATTTAATATATAAACAACATTTTTATTAAATATATACATGCATGTGTTTGTATTTATATATACACATAATAACACAGTTATTAATAACACAATAATACACAATATACACACACATATATTATGTAAACAAAAACTTTTATTCTGGATGAAATTAATCACGATTAATCGTTTGACAGCACTAGTTTTAAGCAAACTCTAGCAGCGAAACCCACACATAAGACATAAAACAGTCATGTCTTAAGGAGGGATGTCCCAAGCTGATCTCAAGGATCAGTAGGGCTGGGTATCGATTTAGATGTCCCGATTCGATTTGATTCTGACTCGCAAGCTCTTGATTCGATCCGATTCGATTCTTGATTTGATTCTCGATTTTTTTATTACATTCAGTGAATATAGTTTTAATACAAATGCTAGTGATATTTCTAAAAAATTAACAGTAAACATCAGTTTACAAATGGTGAATTAATAAAAAGAAATTAATTTAAACCTATTATTTTTTGTATGAGGTCCTATTTTTTTATTTTTTTTTTTAACAATAATAGGGCCCTATAAAAGTTTTTCTTATTTTTTCTGGTAATCAAATGAAGGCATAAAACATTAGTTTATCCTAATCAAATGAAAATTAAACCCTTTTATTTTTTTGGCAAACAACGTGCTGCACAACAGAGGTTTACTGTTAAAATTAAAAAGAAAGCAAATGTGATTGTTCCTTTAAAAATAAAGTTTTATAAATATTTATTAGTAGTAGTAGTATTGTTGTTACATTGAGTCTAAAGACTGCACTAAGTAATATATTTCTTTCTTCACATTAAACCAAACTTTTATTTTGATGGGTTGCGTTGCCGTGAAGAACTTGCATCTGCTGTGTATGTGATATGACGGTAGTTTCCTCAAATTAAATGTTAAAATGCTAATGAAGTGACTTTCAGAGCAGCTTGAGATGATATTTGTGTGTTCTAGACATGTGCCAGTATTCGGTAATGCAATATATCACGATAATGAATACGTACGATATTGTTATCGTAGGCACTTCAAAATACTTCAAAATAAATTTGAGCCATGGCTGAACAGTAACACTTGCCATCTAAGACAAGCTTGCAGAAGAGCAGAGCACAGATGGAAAAAGGATAAGCTACAGGTGTCCTATGAAATACTACGGGAGTCTTTAATATCATACCAGAAAGCTGTCAAGGCTGCTAAGTCTTGCTGTTTCTCGGAGATAATTGCTAAAAATTCAAATAATCCTAGGATCTTCTTTAATATTTTAAATTCAGTTTTTAACTCCGTAGGAAACAATTATCTCACTGAATCTTCCTCTCTGTGTGAAAAAGTTTTCTGTTGACAAAATAGTAGTGATTAGACTGTCTATATTACCCTCATCTGTTGATCCAGCAGATCCTGTTATGGCCACCAGGTTTTTAAACTCTTTTGAGCCAATTACCATGTCTTGTCTAACAGATATAGTCAACAATTTGAAGCCTACTACCTCTTCTCTTGACATTGTTCCTACTTGTTTTTTTAAACACATATTTGACAGTGTTGGGGCATGGATCCTGTTAATTATCAACAAAAGCCTTCTCTCAGGCTCTGTTCCCGCTCTCTGTAAACATGCCAGGGTGAGACAAATATTGAAAAGACCTAATTTGGACTAGACTTGCGCATATTCGGTAATGCGATATATCACGGTAATGAATATGCACGATATTGTTATCGTGGGCACTTCTAAATACCGTGAATAATTATATATTACAAATTATTCCGAATTTTGAATGCATTTTAAAAATACTTTTCCCATCAACTGGTCAAAATGCACAACAACGCTGTATGCTGCGTGAAAGATGCGTGCGCACTCTGACATAAACAAGCACTCTGACATAAACAAGCGTGGACGAGAAGCACATGGTGGAACATGTGAGACTCTCTGGATGAAAGCGCACTTTCACTCTCTGACAGCAGATGGCGCTAAACTGCAGAAATAATAATAATAATAATTCATTTAAATGCAGCCGTTACCCCAGAAACCCTGTAAACAAATTTTAGTCAGTTTAATGTAATGA